GTGCTTGATGAGAAACACCCCTACCAACCCTGGTGATGGCGATTTGCCTCCCAAAGCAGCTTTCAAAGCTTCTAGCATCAGAGTGGGCAGGGGCACCCGCACTACAATTGAAATTGATGATGAGGAGGATGATCCGGTCCCTGTTGCACCATCCAGGAGGTCTGTTGACAGTGCCGGGCCCTCTCGGCGCCCCCATTCTGGAGTAGACCTATCACGCTCACAGTCCTCCCGGCCTATGCTGCCCTCCTTGGAGGAAGAGGTCGCGGATCTCCGCACCTCGGTGGATGGTCTACACACACGGATGGACGCCATGTCACAGAGGCAGGCTAGATCTGAGAGCTGGTTTATGGCTTGGCTACGCGCATTGGGGAGGGCTTGCCATGTAGACCCCAGCACCGTCTCCGACTCGGATTGAGTCTCAGGGAAGTCTTCTCACTCTTCTATTCTTTATTGTATTGATATGGCATGGGGACATGCCATGATTTTAAGTGTGGGGTGGGAGACTTGCTCTAACTGTGTATTCAAATGTATATAGCTGTTGTTGTGTGGTAACAGTAGATGTGGTGTACATATGTGAGTAAGTATATTAGGAGTAGCTGACTTGGCCCAACGACGGACACTTGTTGACGGGTCTCTTGAGGGTCAAAGTCAGATATATATATATATATAAAAAAAAAATTGTAGAGGACTCTTCCTGACGACGGACTAGGTGGACAGTACTCTTGAGGGAAGTAGTCCATGTAGAATTTTTTTTTTTAGGTAGTGTAGTACCTCCCCCTTGGTTTTTCTTTTGACCACGGTTCTTTTCCAAGGGTTTTTCTTGAACCGGGTTAGGTAGATTTTTCTTTTATAGTTTTAGGATTAAATGGGTGAAGGTCAGAATGTAACCCCAAATGTGCACACTTGCAAAGAAAACGAACTAAGGGTGTAAGATCTAAGCTTGTTTGTGGACTCATAATATATGCCTTAATTTTGCACATCTTGTCTTGCTTGAACACTCGTATGATTGTGTTGATGAACTGATTCGGAATGAGTTACATGCTAACTGTGTGAGTTGTTACTTGCATCCTATGTTTGCATATGATACCTAGAACTTGCCCTGTGTGTTTGCAAAGCGAAATAGAAGTCATTTGGTTTTAGAGATGATTGAGGCATTTCTTTGTGCAACCCTTTATACTTGAGAATCCACCTGTGCATATTACCATAGTTAACCCCTTTGAGCTTGAAGCCTGTTCTTTGATAACCCTATAATGATCTAAATCGCTGTGTTTGAATAAGCTAATTG